TGGAAAAGACGCTCCGTCTGTTTCGCCAGTTCATATGACTGTTTATACCGGGGCTGTGTTCGTTGAGTCAGCTGCTCAGCCGGTAGCTCGGTTAGCTGCCCAGCAGTCGCTAACTCAGTCAGCCGCTCAATCATCACCTCCATTACAGTCACAGTCAGACCCAGTAGACACCATGTTACAGTCCATAGCCCAGTCAATAGCTCAGTTGGCAAGAGATTCATCAGCCTTATTATCAGTTCAGCCAGCCACTCCACCACCTGTTACTACTTCGCTACCTGTAGCTCAGTTGCCACCAGTCCAGCAGCCTGTCCACTCATTTACCCAGCCTTTATCCTCACAGCCTCATTACAAGCAGGGAACACACTCCACACAAACTTTTGCTGGTTCATTTAAGCTGGCCATCTCAGAGACAGTTGCTCCCTCTAGGGCCTCCCCAGAGGCTGGGTGTCAGTCACCAGCCAACTCTGGACCCCTAGAGGTCAAGACGCCAGCACCAGCAGCCTCACCGGAGAACTCACCAGAACAGTCTCGGCTCTCAGCACCCCCTGAGAGTTCAAGTGAGTTCACCCGTCCGCCTCAGTCCTCTGCTGAGTGTATTGGGGAACACTTTCAGCCCTCTGAGGACTGTATCCCACTGTTGCTGCCTGAGTCTAGCCACTGTGCTGCTCAGTCCCAGCCAGTGTCCACACTGGCAGAGGTCTCCGTACCTGCTGCTTCAGAGACTGGTTCCACTGGAGGGCCTGAGGAGCCCGTCCAGTCTCAAGTCATGTTAGCTGGGGGTTCAGGTGAACCCAGCCAGCGTCCTGCCTTGTCGGCTGGAGGGCCTGAGGAGCCCGTCCAGTCTCACGTCATGTTAGCTGGGGGTTCAGGTGAACCCAGCCAGCCTCAAGTGTCGTCTGCTGGGGGTTTAGGAGAACCCAGCCAGCCTCAAGTGTCGTCTGCTGGGGTTTAGGAGAACCCAGCCAGCCTCAAGTGTCGTCTGCTGGGGGTTTAGGAGAACCCAGCCAGCCTCAAGTGTCGTCTGCTGGGGGCCCGAGGAGCCCGTCCAGTCTCACGTCATGTTAGCTGGGGGTTCAGGTGAACCCAGCCAGCCTCAAGTGTCGTCTGCTGGGGGTTTAGGAGAACCCAGCCAGCCTCAAGTGTCGTCTGCTGGGGTTTAGGAGAACCCAGCCAGCCTCAAGTGTCGTCTGCTGGGGGTTTAGGAGAACCCAGCCAGCCTCAAGTGTCGTCTGCTGGGGGGCCCGAGGAGCCCGTCCAGCCGCAAGCCACGTCCGCTGGAGGGCCCGAGGAGCCCGTCCAGCCGCAAGCCACGTCCGCTGGAGGGCCCGAGGAGCCCGTCCAGTCTCAAGTCATGTTAGCTGGGGGTTCAGGTGAACCCAGCCAGCGTCCTGCCTTGTCGGCTGGAGGGCCTGAGGAGCCCGTCCAGTCTCACGTCATGTTAGCTGGGGGTTCAGGTGAACCCAGCCAGCCTCAAGTGTCGTCTGCTGGGGGTTTAGGAGAACCCAGCCAGCCTCAAGTGTCGTCTGCTGGGGGTTTAGGAGAACCCAGCCAGCCTCAAGTGTCGTCTGCTGGGGGTTTAGGAGAACCCAGCCAGCCTCAAGTGTCGTCTGCTGGGGGGCCCGAGGAGCCCGTCCAGTCTCACGTCATGTTAGCTGGGGGTTCAGGTGAACCCAGCCAGCCTCAAGTGTCGTCTGCTGGGGGTTTAGGAGAACCCAGCCAGCCTCAAGTGTCGTCTGCTGGGGGTTTAGGAGAACCCAGCCAGCCTCAAGTGTCGTCTGCTGGGGGTTTAGGAGAACCCAGCCAGCCTCAAGTGTCGTCTGCTGGGGGCCCGAGGAGCCCGTCCAGCCGCAAGCCACGTCCGCTGGAGGGCCCGAGGAGCCCGTCCAGCCGCAAGCCACGTCCGCTGGAGGGCCCGAGGAGCCCGTCCAGCCGCAAGCCACGTCCGCTAGAGGGCCCGAGGAGCCCGTCCAGCCGCAAGCCACGTCCGCTGGAGGGCCCGAGGAGCCCGTCCAGCCTCAAGCCACGTCCGCTGGAGGGCCCGAGGAGCCCGTCCAGCCTCAAGCCACGTCCGCTGGAGGGCCCGAGGAGCCCGTCCAGCCGCAAGCCATGTCCGCTGGAGGGCCCGAGGAGCCCGTCCAGCCTCAAGCCACGTCCGCTGGAGGGCCCGAGGAGCCCGTCCAGCCTCAAGCCACGTCCGCTGGAGGGTCCGAGGAGCCCACCCAACACCACGCCTCGTTAGCTGAGGGTCCTGGGGGACCCAGCCAGCACATCCTCACACCTGCTGATGGTCCGGGGAAAGTGGTTCAGCCGTCACCTGTTGAATCGTCCCCCGCGACTTTTACATCATCACCTGCAGCATTCACGCCACCGCCTGCTGCATTCACGCCACCGCCTACAGCATTCACATCATCGCCATTCGCAGCACCGCCTGCAGCGTCGCTGCCGTCAGGTTCCGCAGCCGTCCCGCTGCCGTCAGGTTCCGCAGCCGTCCCGCTGCCGTCATCCACGCCTGGTCCGGCCTCAGCTCCGCCCACGCCGCCGTCTGGTCCAGCCTCCGCTTCAGCCTCAGCTTCGTCTGGTCCAGCCTCCGCTTCAGTCTCGTCTGGTCCAGCCTCCGCTTCAGTCTCATCTAGTCCAGCCTCCGCTTCAGCCTCGGCTTCGTCTGATCCAGCCTCCGTGCCTTCATCCACGCCTGGTCCAGCCTCCGCGCATTCATCCACACCTGGTCCTGCCTCCGTGTCTTCATCCACGCCTGGTCCAGCCTCGGCTCCGCCTTCATCTGGTCCCGCCTCATATGGTCCTGCGGTTGCCACACCGCCGTCGGAGCCAGCTCGACCCGTTCCGCCTCGCCTCTGCGGCCGTTTTCCGGGCCTCTAAGATGGCATCATGGCCTTCGGGGACGGCCTCCGGAAAAAGTTCGTCGCCGCCACTGGCACCGCGGCCGTCCTCCGGACCTGTTCAGTGGCCACCACTACCTTCCAAGAGGTCGGCCTCCAGAACTGTTTGCCCGTCGCCGCCGTTGCCGTGTGCACGGTCGGTCCCCGGAACTGTTTGCCCGTCGCCGCCGTTGCTGTGCGCATGGTCGGCCCCCTGACTGTGTTATGGACTGGTGTACAGTCGTGTTTTGGTTCTGGACTCTCGTGCTCCTGGTTTTTTGTGTTTCAGGCCCTCCTTCCTGGGCCCCCTCCGCCCGCCCTGGCTTGGTGCTTGTGCTGGAACAGAAGGCAGTTTGGTCTGTCTGAGCTCAGATGAAGGAAATACTGAAAAGCCCTGTTTTTGAATTCTCACTGAGAGCTCAGAATAAGTTTTCTGCCTTCAAACTACACTTTATTTAACTGTGATCAATAATTATTGATTTATTTATTGATTTATAAATCCACCTTGTTAAAAAAGCCAAAAACAGATTCTGAGTGATTCATTTAAATACAAAATGAAACATTCGGGCTGACTGAAGATACATTTGAGCTCTGCTGGTGCTGGTGGATGTTTGAGTGCAGAGTTCATTTCACGTGTAAGTTACTGGTTGGGGAGTCTGGTGGAAGGTAATCCATTCGCCTTCTTTCTTTCTTTCAGACCAGTTTTATAAGATGTTCCTTAAAGGTGTGATATGTAGAGAGCTCCTTTATTGTCATTGGTGAACTAGTCCAGTGTTATTGGGGTCTAACAACCCAAGGTTGGATCATGTGCAATGGTGGAGATGAGAAAACAGTCACTTAGAGATGAGTCAAATAAAAACCTGCATTTTGAGCTCCAGTAGATTTTTCTTCTTTATCAGCTGATCGGCAGATTAAACTGAATACAACAAGGCATAAGCTGATGCTTCACAAGTTACCCGACCAATTTTCAACCACTAGACTCTATAAAGCTAGCGCTGAAGGTCAAATTCAGTGAGAGAATTTACTCAGCATCATTACATCAAATATAAATATCTGCTGCCCTTCATGTAGCATCACACTGACCATGAACACCACAGCTGCTCTGTACCAGTCCAACATAGTTGATCACTGTAAACTTTACCAAATCACAGCAATTAAACCAATTAAAACTCTCAGTAATCACAATAATTTGAAATAGTTTCACACATTTAGGAGTTTCTGATTTATAACTAACAACATCTATCCATTCTCTTCAGCTTATCCAATTAGCATCGCAGAGTAGCTAGAGCCTATTTAAAGGCAGGGCACATCCTGAACTGTCAAAACAATATAACAAAATATTGTTTTTGGTTTTTTGCATAATTTGATAAAAACCTAATGTAGGAATGTTTAGCTTATTTTAGAGTTTAGGAATGTGTTAGATAGGACATAGAATTGTGAGACACTGACACTGCCCTGGATATAAATAAAGGCCTGACTGTGTCATGAACTTAGGAGTAGATTGTTTGAGACCCTCCCCCAGTTGAACTGTAAAAGTAAGACAAAGAGGAGTTAATGCTGAGTGGAAATTCCCCAGAGGATACCTGGGTGGGGGTCTCAACATTTGTAACTGGATAATTGTGGTCTGGAAGGGAGATGGACTTTTATGACCGGCAGGGAGTCACGTGCACTCACACATACACACAGGTACGCGCATACACTCAGTCACTCACGTGCACTCACATAGGCATACGGATACGCGCACACATGTGCTCGTGCATACACACAGACACAGAGTTTGCAGCACACCATGGGGGTTTGATGATGGGGTCGCTTCTATAAAGCTGGCTGTAACTAACAAAGGGGTGAAGATTTTGCAGATGGACATCGGCCTCGTCTTCCCTTCTAGAAGTGCATGCTTAAATGAAGATGAATAAAGATGAATAAAGGTTTTGTGAAATAACTACTGAGTTCCGGTGCCGTCTCTGGAAGCTTCGAGGAATAAAAGAACCGGGGTGAAACTGATTTCACAACACTAATAAAATATTTGAGCAATTTCTTCCTGGTAACAGCTGATGCTGTGGTCACGTGACCCTGCACTCTGATTTTTACAGCAGCTCTCAGTCAGACTGTGTCAGAGCTTGCCAGGAGAACTCAGGAACATGGCTTCAATGTTTTTATGCTTCACGCTTCTCTTCATCAACATCTGCACAGCAGGTAAGATCAATACACTAATCAAACACATGATCAGTCACAGTTACAGAGTGTTCGCTGATTAAAGGAAAGTGAAGGATGAGATGTGATTTTTATTGTGGTTGATGCACAGCAGCATTTTTGTTTGTAACCATCACCTGTGATGATCCCCGTTTGCCTCTCAGGGCTGAAGTTCACTGTTTCAGCTATCATTAAGCTTTACAGCATCACAGCTGGATTAATGAATTCATCCATCAGTCTACTTATTAAACTGCTGAATAAAACAAATAATTTCAGAAAGACCATTTTGCTGCTTCATTTTACTTTGCTCGTATTAAATCAATTATAAAAGTAACGGTTAGACTCAGTCATGCATGCCATGTATTTAACATTTAAGCCTTTATTTATCTCACTGAGATTAAAATCTCATTTGTAAGAGAGGCCTGGAATCATGGTGGCAAAAGTAAAAACATATACAACACATAACAACAATTTAAAACACATACAATATTCTATACAAACAGGTGAAACTTTAACAATAGCACATCATTAAGAGTGACAATTGAAACCAGTCACACTGACTAAAAGAGTTATTCTCTTGTTCCTTTAAAACTGACTTAAACTCCTGCAGGGTAACCATTTCTCACAATTTCAGCTCCTTCTGCAGATTATTCCAGGAAACAAGGGCATCCTACAATTAGGAAAAAGACATTTTTCCCTAATTCTACTCTTATTTTCAGGACAATTAATTGTATGATTTTCGAGAACAAAGGCTGTATTGGTTGTGGTTCTTACCCATATACACATGCACAGATAAGAGGGAACCAGCCCAAGGAGAGATTTATAGATAAAAAAAACAACCAATGTGAAAGTCTGCAGATATACAGAAGTGGACATTTATCAGCAGCATACAGAGAAAAGTGATGTAGTCAAGTTCCACAACCATTAATAAAATGTCAAACACAATTGTAAACAGTCTCCAACCTCTTCAAGTACTAAGCAGGTGCATTTGTAAAAGCAGAATCCAATAAAGGGAAAAAAGTTACAGAAATCAAGTTTTTCCTCACTTATAGAAAGAACGAAAAAAGAATGCCCAAAAAAGAAACAAGCCCTTGAACGTGAGTTTTAAATGACAAATTCTGATCTATAATGATACTTAGATACTTATTAGATGTAACCATTTTAATTTCAGTCCCTTGAATGGTTTTAATCTTATGAAACATAGCTAACAGTCTTTGCACTTTGAAAACAACATGAGCTTGTATTTGTCTGCATTTAACTCCAACTTCCATCCATCCATCCATCTTCATCCGCTTTATCCGAGGCCGGGTCGCGGGGGCAGCAGCCTAAGCAAAGAGGCCCAGGCCTCCCTCTCCCCAGCCACCTCCTCCAGCTTGTCCGGGGGAATACCAAGGCGTTCCCAGGCCAGCCGAGAGATATAATCTCTCCAGCGTGTCCTGGGTCTGCCCCGGGGCACCATAAAAAATGCTGGGTTAAAAATGACCAAATCTGTAACCCCACACTGGGTCAAATGTGGAGCTTCATTTCCTCAGCCTCATTTCAAATAATAACTTCAAAAGATAATATCAAGCATTTTTAAGTAGAAATAACTTTCTTCATCCCAAGCTAGCTGGTGTTATCTGTTAAAATACCTTTAATGAGTAGGTAAAGTTCTAAAATAAACCAATAAATTGCATTATCAAAAATAACCCTATGATTTTCAAACTGTTATAATTCACTTTTTACTTACCATATTTTATTTCATAGTAGTGGAGAAGTAGTCCAGTGATATGTGATCAAGTCACAGGCAGTTTGTGAAGACCTCTGAGGCTTACCTTCAACCCCAACAATTGGGTGAAATGTTGACCCAATATTTTATCAAAGCTGCCGAACCTATGACCCAACAGAATTAGTCAAGCTGTGGAGGGAATTGAAGAACCCAGCACATCACCAACCTAACTCCTGAGTCATGACTTTTGAACCAACATTTGGTCACAATAACCCAACTTATGAACCTACGGCTTTTACCCAGAAGTGGAGTTATGAAAATAACCCAGCATTTTTTAGGGTGTATGGAGAGAAAAATGGGAGTGAACAACATCAAAGGCAGCTTAAGGAAATTAAAGAGTTTCTATTAATGAAGTATCTAAACAATAGATAATTGTGTTATCTGCACAAAGATGGAATATAGCATTTGATAAATTTTCAAAAAGGTTATTTTTGTGGAGAGAAAAAAAGCAATGGTCCTAATATGGAACACTGAGTACATGTAGTTTATACAATGAGAGGGGAAGTAAAAATAAAGACAAGGCACTAGAACAAATGACTCATGAAATAAAGTGAGAAGTGGTTAACATCTCTTCTTCTTAACTGTACTTACACAAACAGTGAGACTACACAGTTCTCTGTTTTTTAACTGTACATCTGATTTTTAACTGTACATCCTACACGAATGAAGGTAAATGTCAGTTTATATGCAGAAGATCTGTGTCCTTATTCTACATATTCCTATTCAGGGTCTCATTACAAACACTCTTTAATATTCAGTCACACAGAGACTTTTCTGCAACATTGCATTTACACATTAGACCATCACGCGTTACTAACTAACCAAAATACATTGTTTTGAAATGTTGCTGCAACACACAGGTATGTATTAAAGACATAAACACGTGGATGTGTTGTCCTTTATTCAGACAAACTGAGGTCGTCATATTTGGACCTCACAAAAACTTCTGAAACATGGTGTCTAACGAAATACTGGACAGGCTTTTTCTCCAGTAACACTTCAAGGACTCTTGACATTTTTATATATCCTTCAATGCACACATTAATATTTATGTAACCCATACTGGTTTCTCCAAATTTAAAATGCTTCTCCTTGCATACATATTTGAATAATCAGGCCCACTATTGAGAATATTCTTAGCACTTTCCTTTTTGCTAAAGTAAAAATTTGGGCTGGACCCTAGTGACCCTGAATCCTCCCTTAGTTATACTGCAATAGAACTTAGGCTACTGGGGGATTCCCATTTCTTTCACTTGTGCATTAAACTATCTCCTGTAGTTTGTGTTTTGTCTCATCTGTCTTGGTTCTCCTTTTTTGTTCTTCTTTACCATAACCAGCCATGGCAGTGCTTCTTCCTGATCCTGGTTCTGTTGGTTGTTTCTCTCTCTTCCACTGTTTCCAACTTTGCACATCTTAAGATTGCTGGGGTTACCTCTCTAATATTATAGGATCTTGGTGTTTTTGTGAATCATTTTTATGTATATGAAATTGAATTGATACTCTGTTGGTAAGCTTAATGATCTAACTAAGGTGAAGATATGATGATGATATCATTTCAACAACCTGCTCTTAAAGGTTTCCCAGACTACTACAGGAGAGTGATTCTCTAATCTTTGTGTTTCAGATGGATATGAGTGTTACTCTTCAACTCGCTGCCTGTTTAACTCCACTGAGCTGCAGGACATCGAGTTCATCAGATCTTACTATTACAACAAGATAGAGCATGTCAGGTTCAGCAGCGATGTGGGGAGGTTTGTTGGATACACTGAGTTTGGTATAAAGGAGGCAGAATACTGGAACAAAGATCAGGCAATACTCGCTCAAATGAGAGCTCAGAAGGAGACGTACTGCCAACACAACACTGACCTCTGGTACGCAAATGTTCTTTCTAAATCAGGTGAGTCTGTATTTCTGTGACATCATCAGATTGTCATATAAACCTCATCACATGATGCCATCATTGACAACACAACTCCTGACTGAACTCTCTGCACATAGTTTAAAGTTAACACTGCTGAAGGTTTAATCTGATACATTCAGTTAAAACTACATAATCTCTGTAGTTCTGTAGCCATTTCAGGCTTGTTATATTTATAAAGTCACTTCAGCTTTATTGTGTTGCAGTTTTAACTTTGAATGAAATAAAAACATTCCTCCTCCTCCTGATGTTCCAGTGAAACCATCAGCCAGACTTCACTCCACGATGGCTCCTGGTTGTCACCATCCTGCCATGTTGGTCTGCAGCGTCTATGACTTCTACCCTAAACTGATCAAAGTGAGCTGGTTGAGAAATGGACAGGAAACAACCTCTGATATCACTTCCACTGAAGAGTTTGCAAATGGTGATTGGCTCTACCAGGTCCACTCCCACTTGGAGTACATGCCCAGGTGAGTCCAGGTCAAACCTGGGACCAGGACTCTTTGTTTGCCTGGACAGTCTGACCACGTGTGCCCTCTCCTGGATAATTCCACTGTCAGCACCAAACTCCTTCAATGGTGATGTTTGAAGGGTCTGATCCTTCAGCTCAGGCTGTTAACTCTGATCTTTGTCCAAGTTTTCTTCTGTGGCTCCAGCTCACTGACTTTAGTTTGAATAACCACAACATCCCATATTCACAGCTCAGCCTGTGAAAGCTGTTCCCTCTTCTTCTTCCTCATTCCTGCTAAAACTGAACCCATCCAAGGTTCCAGTTTCTGCAGAGCCGAGTGTTTCATCAGGAACTGTCTGAAAATTGAGATCGAAAACAGGAAGTCCCCAAGATTGTGTTTAATATTGTTGAAAGTTTAAAACAGGACGATTGCTGATTCAGTTATGTGAACATTTCCATAACTTCTCTTTTCCACACCTTTGTGAGTATGGATGGGTATCGTTTAGGTTTTATCCGATACCGGTGCCAAACCGGTACTTTTGAAACGGTGCCGGTGCTTAAACAGTGCTCGAACCGGTGCTTAAAGAATGGAGAACACACAATTGGTCCAAAAACCTCTCATGTTTAGCTGTTTTTTTTTTTGTAAAAAGATAACAATGTTAGCCTTTTCTGCAGCTAGAGGGCATATATGGTATCACTCTTGGCTGGAAGCAGTGCTTAAACAATGGAAAAAACACAAACATCGTCCAAAAACCTCTCATGTTTAACTGTTTTCCACTTTTTCTTTTGTCATTTTAGCCTTTTTGGCCAGGATGAAGGAAGTATCTGCCATCAAACAAGAAGACAGCCGCATGTAGCTATGATGATGTTTGCTAGTTCACCTTACATGCATTAATGTAATAACGTGGTTAGCCTACTCAACGTAAATTACACACGGCCAACATTAAACTACTCACGCAGAGAAGAACGGCTGCTGCTGCATCATCATCCATCATCATTTCTGCTACACTGGCAGGGCTAGGGGCCAGGACTCTCCTCTTCGGGTTTTTGGGGGATGTTGCTAACTCCGGGACCGATAACAGGCAGCCCACCCCGCAGTAGATGTGCTCGGTGTGAGGGCTCGCAGCAAGCTATCAAATACGGCGCATTTTTCGGCTTTTAAAAAAACGCTATGCGTCGCCAGGTGTTTCATCAGATTTGAGGTGTTACCTCCTTTGCACAGTATCAGCTTAAAGCACTTGTTGCAGGCTGCTGAGTTTGCATATTTTGCTGTGAAGTACAGCCAGACTTTTGACCGCTTTGCCTTGGGCATTGTTGAAATCTCCCAATTCTTTTAATCTTTGGGCTGAAGGAAGGACAATACTTGGTGTATAAATGCTCAGTCAACAATCATTTATTTCCATACAATTCAACACTTATGAGCATTAGAACCATCATGATGGGGAGACCTGCCTGCAGAGGGTCACAGCAAGTCTCAAAATGGTCACGGGTTGCTCAGCTTTTTATAGCCTCTAGTGGCCCCCACCTAGTCGCAAAAGCCTAAACATTACATTCTTTCTCTCTAAGTTATGACCTTGGCTCCCTGTCTTTCTGCTCTTCTAAAAAGGTGGGGGTCTGTCTCTTCTATTATCGGCACAAGGTCCTCTGCACACAACATTCTCTTCATGATTCAGCAGTATGACATGTCAAGAAACAGTATAACACATTTAACAGTGTCGAGGAATACACGTCAATCCAATAGATCTAATGATTTTCACACTCTTTCAAGTCAGAAGTATAATGCAAACTAAAACTACATACTGATCACACACTCTATATTATGGGTATAATATGATCTACAGCAGTATCGTACTTCAACTACTTTGATTACATATATAAGGTAACATATGATAACAGAATAATATCACAGCATTTTTAATCTGTAGCTCTGCTCTAAAAGAACGTACGTACCTGGACCCGCCTACTATCCTCAGAAACGTAAAATGATTGGCTAGAATTCAAAGTGTATGACATCTCAGGAAAAAAAAGCACCGAAATGTGTGCTGCTTTTCGGTCTGGTTGCTACCGTTTATGTCAGAACCGGTGCCATCATGGCACTGGATACCAGTACCCATCCCTATTTGTGAGTCATGTCCATGATATAAAATGTGTTACAGGTGATCAGGTAACCATCAGCTGATCACACAAATCAGATAAATATCAGTGATGTTGGTTTGTGTTTGTGTTGAAGGTCTGGCGAGAAGATCTCCTGTATGGTGGAGCACGCCAGCCTGGATGAACCACTGATTATTAACTGGGGTAAATACCTGTCTGTATCGACACACCTGTACACTGCCTGTGTGTCCGTTCACCTGTGTGACTCTCACCTGTGTGTCTTCAGTCCCGCCCATGCCTGAAACAGAGAGACTGATCATAGTTGGAGCCATAGGACTGATCCTGGGCCTGATCTTGTTTGTGGCTGGAGTCATCTACAGGAGGAAGAGTGGAGGTCAGACCAGCACTCACTGAAACACCAGTTTAAACCAGACTAAAACCAGTTTATCCCAGGCGAAAACCAGGTTAGATCAGACTAAAATTAATTAACACCAGACTATAGTTGCAACAAAGAAAAGAGAAGCTGTGACTTCCAGAAGCTAATGGAGCTCCTGAAGGGCTTCAGTTAGTCCAAAGTAAGGATAACTTGGACTGATTGGATCAGTTGGATTGTTGGGTTTAAGTTTTAGGCAAAAAAACATTAGAACTGTGACGTGTCAGTTCAGCCTGAGCCATCACCTTTGACCTTTGACCCTCGTTCTCTGTGTTGCAGATACATCTTTGGCTCACAGGTTCGGTGAGAAACAGGCAGAGGACTGGAACAAAGATCCTGCAGCTCTGAGCTTGTGGAGACCTCAGAAGGAGATGTTCTTCAAACCCGACTCTGAGCTCTGCTTCACAAATGTTCTGCCTAAGTCAGGTGACTCACTGTTTGCTGCTGATGGTTTCATCTTTATGTAAAACTAGTGTCGTCTGCAGTTCTGCTCCTTTCACAGTAAAACCGGGTGTCTCACACACAGTCCACTGGAAAAAAATATTCATAATTCAACTTCATCAGTGAGACATTAAAACTGTGTGAGGGTACCAGGTGTTTCTAGATCTGAGTGAGATTTGGTCTCATGGAGAACAACGTGTTCGGGTGTACATGTGGAGGTTTTATAAAAGCACTTTTAGTGAAGACGTCTCAGCTTCTTCTTCATGTGTTCAGCTGCCAACAGCTGGCAGTTTATTATGTGTCAAAGTTTCCCTTCTGTGTTCAGACTGTTTTTATTTTTTATGTTCCAGTGATGCCATTGGCCAGGCTTCACTCCATGACGCCCCCTGGTGGTCGTCATCCTGTCTTGGCACTCTGCAGAGTCTACGACTTCTTCCCCAATCAGTCCAAAACCAGGTGTTGCTCCAGGCTGCTTTGATTTATCCTCATGATTCATTTGAATAGATCATAAAAGATTTCTAGTCTTTGTGCCGGCACATCTGCTGCTACACACCAGCAGACTGTGGGGACCAGTTTGGAGCTGTTGGTTAAAGCAATACAGGTCCTGTTCTCATGATGAGCCGTCTCCTTGTTTTCTCTCTCTGTGCCCCAGGACTGATGCTGGTTCCCAGTAGTGGATCCTGATTGTAGACCTGGAGCTGGTTCTGCTTCTGTCTGATAGCTGGAAGCAAAAGCAGCAGCAGTTGGCAGCTCTGTGTTTGATCCAGGCTGTTTGAGTCAGGCTGAAACTGGACTGTGGTGGATCTACTGGAGCCTCAGTGGTGGAGTCATCATGTAGTGTGTGCAGAGTGTTCTCAGAGTCTTTACAGCTGTCTGACAGGAGGAACTGCTCAGGTGAGCTTCCTCCAGGTTGGACCTGGTCTGTGCAGGCCGGAGGACAGCGAGGTGTGTGCTGGGAAACTGAGTGTCTGATTGCTTTGTTTGGATGTAAGGCTGGAGGGGGCGGAGCTCTGTGGGTGTTTGTGTGTGTGACTTTCCAGTGTAATCACACACACACACACACACACACACACACACACACACACACACACACACACACACACACACAGATGGATGCAAAGATGAAACCACACTCTGAGCTGTCAGCTGTTTGTTGTATTTTCACTTCCTGATCCTTTCCTCAATAAAGCAGATTCCACAGTCATGTGATCGCTGTCTTCTTTCAAACACTGTAAAAGACGTAGGAAAGTAGTTTTCACTCTTCGTTGTGTGTCTGTGTTTAGTTAAGCTGCTCAAAAAGAGGCACAATGTGTATCCTCTTGACGGTGTTGCTCCTGGATCATCAAACTGATGCCGGTCCAAGTGACCAATCACATTGTGGTGATATTACAGTTTTGCAGCGTGTAAACACCATCACACAACACATCAAACTCTAATCCCAAAACCGTACTACAGCTCTGTAACCATAATAACGATCACATCTTAACCCCCAACCCTGACTATACATCCCCCTTTTCCTGAGTGGACATCAGCAAGTTTTTTTCTTAATTGTGAAATATGACTATTTTTTTTAGTCATGATTAGTTACTTGCAATGCTGAACATAGACCAGCTTTAAGTAATTATGATGATCCAAAAAAAACCCAGTGTGGTACTTATGCTACATAGTCTTTGTGAAAGGTTAAAAATGTAGTTTTAAGACATAAATATGGATTAAAATAATAGTTAAAAAGTCAAGAGATATAAAAACGGTGCATAAGTTCTGGGGATTACAGTTCAGTTCATGTTTTAACGCAAGTTAAAAAAATGGACACCACAGTAATATTTTTTGTTCAGATTCAGTTTTTATCTAATTACTCTTGAAGTTTTATCAAACTGGATTCCCTAAAGATGCCACAATGCTCTCAGGAAGAAGCCTTATAGGGAAGCCTGCAGAATAAATCCTGTAGTTGACGCTTTAAACAAAGTATGATCCGTGCCTCTTTATTTTATTACCCAGGTGGAGTAATTGTCCTCAAAATGACTCCTATGTAAAACAGTAACAATGATAAGATTGTTGTAAACATGTTAAAGTAAAGCATAACTTTGGAAACTGATTAGAAGTAATCAAAGTTGGTAGCTACCCTTGTTGGTAGCAGGTAAAGTGAGCTTCAAGTACAGTAGCTTTGCTAATGATGCACAAATGGTATTTGTTTTTTTTTTTTTTGTTTTTTTTTCTTTTTTAAATGACATCAGAAACAGCAGCATGCGACATCACGTGATGGCGGAGCTTCAGTTCATCCTTTGTCATCTTTTTTTTTTTTTTTTTTTTTAATAGGACAGGGGGAATGAATGAAAGAGGGGGAGAGAAAGAAAGAAAACCAAAGGGGAGAAGAGACGGTGAGAAGGGGGGGGGGAAGAGAGAAAAAAAAAAACAAACAACAAAAAAAACTCCTGGGTCACCTGTATGGAGAAAACAAACAAAAAAACAAACAGAGGAGACAGCAAACAACAAAGAGCAACATAATAATAGAAAAAAAAAAGCACCATCACAATAAACTAGCTAGTCATAGATATCAATAGTTACTAAATAATAGACGATATTGTTCAGCACGCAAGATAGACAGCGCACAGTGTGCTTTGAGGCAGCAGCCAAGAAAGCTTTAGTCCGCGTCTGTGAATACCCATGTGTACACCTGTGTGCATACCTGTGTGGATCAGCATGCTTGCATTCCAAAGGTTTCTCCATGTAATGATCTGCTAGGGAGTGTGGGGAGCCACAGCCCTGTCCTTTATGGTATCAAGCGGGGGGTATGGAGGAGATCAAAACTCCAGACATCCAGAGGCCCCCAGAACACAAGAGACCAAGGAAGACCCACAGAGGGGCAGCCGCGCCACTGTCCCAGTAAGAGCTAAGGAGAGTCCCAGATGAGGGCTCATTCAGCAGCCGCGGAGCAGAAGCCAGGGGGAGTTGCAGTGATGCGCCCGTGGGCTCCGCCGGCAGCCAGCTGTGCCTGAGTGACCGAGCCCCAGGCTGAGAGGCCGGGGGCACCTCACCTCCGAAATGGCCCGAGCGAGCCCCAATAAGTAGCCGCCAAGGAGTGAGCCGGTGTGTACCCGGACGCCCACCCCCAGATACAAAGAACCACCAACGCACCGACACCTGAGGGAGTCCGCCACCGGCAGGAGAAGTGGTGGTGGGTGGAGATAGGCCTCCAAACCTTGGAAGGCCCGAGATGTCCCCAGAGAGGTGGCGTCTGATACCCAACCTGACATATAAATACAAACATACAGGCACACACAGACACAAACATCCATTCCCACCCTCGTGCTCTCATGTGCACTTCACACTCAACCGACGTGGAGACAAATATAAAGAGACACTGTATACGCGATCACACTCCCCAAGCGTACTCTACAAACCGGGTCTAGGTACCCCTGCCCCTGGAGGGGGAAACTGCACCCAGACCCAGGTGGTGTTACCCTTTTCCCTGCGGTGGTATTTGTAACAGTGAGGTTAATCAGGCTCATATATCTTTTCAATTTATGTTTTTTATGTGTGTTTTGAGGTGAGACGCAATTAAAATTACCAATGTACACATTGTTTAATAATGGCTTTATATGAACAGTTATTTACAAGTTACTTGATATGAGTTCGAGTTTATTGTATTCAGTGATAAAAGTGATATGTTTAAAGTAACCTGAGCAAATACTGGTTTACCATAATCAGTGTGAGCAAATGTTCAGATTAGAGTGATTACTTTAGTTCTCATGTAATCTAATAAGAACTACTTTTGTCTTATTAACAAACAATAATAAATATTCAAAACAGAATGAACTGTTCATTTGTTTCTATTTTTAATATTGCAGTTTTTAAAATTTAACTCCATACAACATTTGTCAAAAACAAACAAACAACTAAAACATTTTCTTGTTTATGTTTAAGTTTAACTTTTTAAAGAAAACATTTTCTTAAATGCAAAAATATATAAATAATCTCAAGTCAAAGGCCAAAGTCAAGTAAAAATACAGTGGGGCAAAAAAGTATTTAGTCAGCCACCGATTGTGCAAGTTCCCCCACCTAAAATGATGACAGAGGTCAGTAATTTGCACCAGAGGTACACTTCAACTGTGAGAGACAGAATGTGAAAAAAAATCCATGAATTCACATGGTAGGATTTGTAAAGAATTTATTCGTAAATTAGGGTGGAAAATAAGTATTTGGTCACATCAAACATGGAAAATCTCTGGCTCTCACAGACCTGTAACGTCTTCTGTAAGACGCTTTTCTGTCCCCCACTCGTTACCTGTATGAATGGCACCTGTTTGAACTCATCATCTGTATAAATGACACCTGTCCACAGCCTCAAACAGTCAGACTCCAAACTCCGCCATGGCCAAGACCAAAGAGCTTTCGAAGGACACCAGGAAAAGTATTGTAGACCTGCACCAGACTGGGAAGAGTGAATCTACAATAGGCAAGCAGCTTGGTGTGAAAAAATCAACTGTGGGAGCAATCATCAGAAAATGGAAGACATACAAGACCACTGATAATCTCCCTCGATCTGGGGCTCCACGCAAGATCTCATCTCGTGGGGTCAAAATGATCATGAGAACGGTGAGCAAAGATCCCAGAACCACACGGGGGGACCTGGTGAATGACCTGCAGAGAGCTGGGACCAAAGTAACAAAGGTCACCATCAGTAACACACTACAACGGCAGGGAATCAAATCCCGCAGTGCCAGACGTGTTCCGCTGCTGAAGCCAGTGCATGTCCAGGCCCGTCTGAAGTTTGCCAGAGAGCACATGGATGATACAGCAGAGGATTGGGAGAATGTCATGTGGTCAGATGAAACCAAAGTAGAACTTTTTGGTATAAACTCAACTCGTCGTGTTTGGAGGAAGAAGAATACTGAGTTGCATCCCAAGAACACCATACCTACTGTGAAGCATGGGGGTGGAAACATCATGCTATGGGGCTGTTTTTCTGCCAAGGGGACAGGATGACTGATCCGTGTTGAGGACAGAATGAATGGGGCCATGTATCGTGAGATTTTGAGCCAAAACCTCCTTCCATCAGTGAGAACTTTGAAGATGAAACGAGGCTGGGTCTTCCAACATGACAATGATCCAAAACACACCGCCCGGGCAACAAAGGAGTGGCTCCGTAAGAAGCATTTGAAAGTCCTGGAGTGGCCTAGCAGGTCTCCAGACCTCAACCCCATAGAAAATCTGTGGTGGGAGTTGAAAGTCCGTGTTGCTCGGCGACAGCCCCAAAACATCACTGCTCTCGAGAAGATCTGCATGGAGGAATGGGCCAAAATACCAGCTACTGTGTGTGCAAACCTGGTAAAGACCTATAGTAAACATTTGACCTCTGTTATTGCCAACAAAGGTTATGTTACAAAGTATTGAGTTGTATTTTTGTTATTGACCAAATACTTATTTTCCACCCTGATTTACGAATAAATTCTTTACAAATCCTACCATGTGAATTCATGGATTTTTTTTTTCACATTCTGTCTCTCACAGTTGAAGTGTACCTCTGGTGCAAATTACTGACCTCTGTCATCATTTTAGGTGGGGGAACTTGCACAATCGGTGGCTGACTAAATACTTTTTTGCCCCACTATAAACACAATCACCCCAACAAACAAGGAAATACTTTTTAGAAATTAGAATAAAACTTCCTGTTCCTGCTTGCTGGACAGTCCACAGTGAGGTGCTTTATGTCTTTTTTCCATGAAGTCATAAGCCATACATACACTGTGTCTTTGTGTCAGAGGGAAATTTGTATCTTAATATTGAAATGCTGAGTACAAAGACAGTGTGTGTTAGTACAGATGGTTATTTACTGCACAGCTGTCTGCATGAACACCAGAGAAGAACCAGATGTAAGTTTCAAACCTGCAGGCTCATTTCATGTCTGTGTACAGAGGTGCTGTGTGGACCACATTTGAACTGTTGCTTTTTTCTTCTTGGACAATTTTAAACAGATAATCATTTATTAAGAACAATCATATATTTCTTACAGCAGTGTGTGACAAACTAGATATCTGTGTTTAATATAAAGTGCTGCGTGTCCATCAAACACTGAAGAGCTGCTGGATTCATTGTTTCCTCCAAATGACAGAAAAGTCATTTTCATGTGACAGAGCGATGATGCAGTGGAGTCTGTTTCTGCTTCTGCTGATGGGTGAGTGATCATTTTACCAGGGCTCCTGA